TATCTATGTATTCGTATCTGTATCTGAATCAGATGCGCTGCCACTCGCCTCGCTCTGGCTCAATCATTCGCACGTGCTTGGGTTAACGTTAACGCTCAATTTGGCTAAATGCAATTTGCATACATTTAAGTGCCGATTTTCCCAAGTGCCCACAGCGCGCGGAGACCTCAATGCTACCCTACCTTACGTCCAGCCGCACACGAAGACGCTAAAATATTGCCTGGATTCATTTGTTTTTTAGGGTTTTTTATGCCCTAAACTTGTTGAAAATGGGTATAATGATTTTGAGCTGATTTTGAGACATGACTTCTTAAGCATAACTCGAAAATTACAAGACCTAAATATACCGATATTGGGTATGGGGAATATTTCAATTATCTGATACGTATCTATTTCCTCGAGAATTTTTAAAGTTAGAGCTTTGAGCTTTAGTATACACGCACTTTTGTATGCCATATTGAAGCCCTGAAAATTTCATTAAGATTGGTAAATAAATTCCCAAGTTATTTAAGGCACATTTTTCCTAGCATAGATCTACGAGAAGAAGAAGCAGCAAGCGGCATGCGTGACACTATATGCAGCATATCTCCAAGTCGTGCACTCCCGACTGAAAAAGCACCCTAATTTGTTTTGAGTTTTTTGTTTTTAGGGAAGTGCACTTGGGTCACGTTTTTGATATTTCATTGAATCAAAACAAATTGCTGCCCAGGCAGCGCAGGCTTTAAATAAATAAATAAATGCGCAACCGCCGGGCAATATTTTTTGTTTTTGTTTGTAACGAGTTTCGAGCTGTCCGCTCGTTAGGCAAATGGCAGCCGCCGGACCGAGCCTGTGCCGTAAAATGTATCCAGGTCGTAAAAATTTAGATTAAACATCATAAAAATGCAAGTTGTACTCAATTGGCTGGTCAAGAAAACAACTGTTGCCCGTTTGTTCTCCAGCCCAAAACTCTGCTTTTCTATAGCCAAATTGGCTTCATTTAGCTGGTTTTGTGGTTGTATTTATACGCTGTTCGCGAGGGGAGAAAGTGTGTGTATAGGTTTTGTGGCAAGTTCTGAGGCCTGCCTGATTGCATATTATTGAGACTTCAAAAGTTTGCATGGTCAAGGTGGGCAGGCAAGGGAAAAAATCGATATATAGATCGGTTAAGTGCTGGGCAGACCTTTTATAAAATTGACAACAGATATATTATGGACACGTGTCCATAAATTGCAAAATTCAATACCTAGTTCAAGGGTCAAATAATCAAAACAAGTCTTGAGCTCCTTTTGCCCAGTTTATAGAGCATTGCGCAGTCGTTGCTTTTGCTGTCAATTGCAGCATTCTTCCCGTATTTTTTTTCCTTTTTTTTCTTAGCTTTTCCCTGCCTTGGCACTTTACTAATTGACAATTTTCAAGCAGTTTTTCTGCGCCATAAAAACGAACTTTTCTAATAACACCCAAAGGCAGTCAGTTTCGTCTAAGCCATTTAAAAATTAATTGCCCGCCTTTTAGCCCAGGACGACGACGATGTTGTCGGTACACGCCCCAAACATGGCACTAATCCAGCTTATAAACGTTGCGTCGACATCGTCTTCGACTCTTTGGCCAGCATTTGTTTTCCATCAGACAACGGAGCACAAATAAGGGCTTGTCGTCGTCCAAGTTGCCAAAAGCATAACAAGAAATCAGCCAAGACGGCAGTGTTAAGATCGTAGCTAGTCAAGCTGAGGATACCCTGTATACTATATCGACAAATAAGTGTGATGTCATAAGATCTATTAGATTTATCCCAATAGTGGATATTTTAGTATAGTCAGCAAATGTGCAAGGCCTTAAATCGGTTTAGATCGCTTTACTATATCATATGACAATCTGTGTAATGTTGGATTTTTATTTCTTAACCAAAGTCGCATAGCTTCATTATGCCTTTTAGATTTAAGTAAAATACCTTATATGGCGGAAATACTTTATCATATAGGTTCTATACGAATGTTCGGGGAAATCGGTAAATGGGAATTTGGTTATTTCATAAAAATATCTGCTATATCTACAGGAGAATTTAAATATATCTAAACAAAATTTTTTTTAAAATAATATTACAAAATATTTTTAATATGAAAATAGTCAATATATTAAAAATATTCCTAATATCTAATTTCTAGCTGAAATTATTTTCTTAGTCTAATTTTAAAATAATTTCTAAAATATTAATAGTTAAAAATAATCTTAAAAAGAAATTTCTTGGCGATAATATTTTGTTTGTTTAATTTAAAAAGAATAAAGAATAATAGTATAAAATATTGCCAACATTTCTAGTCAAACATAATGTTTGTTGAAAATGTTGAAAAAATCAAATATTTGAAACTCACAAAAATAACTTTTTTAATTGGAAATATTAATTAAAAATTAAATTTAAATACATAGCTGTTCAAACATGGTTTCTTTAAAAAAAAACCTCCATAATTATAGCCAAAAATATTTGAGTATCAAATTAATTGCTGCTAATATTCAATTAATCATAAAATTAAAAAGAAAATATCTACAATACAATTCATAGTTAGGTTAACTGTCATAGACTTGTTAAGCTGATGCGTCAGGCATACCCCTTTTGGCAATTATGTAATGGAGGGCACAAAAACCGTTTAATTTAGACACAAGCTTCTAATTTTGTATTATTGCTACGTTTTGTTATTAGTTTTATTTTATTTTATTTTATGTTTTCGCTTCGCTATTGTCTCGAGTGCTTGTGGCAAATTGTGTGCGGCTGACCTTTTGTAAGCACTTCTCGGACCAGCAACAAGCTGCAGCTGAGCGAGAGGGCTATATGCCAGTAGAAAGAGACGGACTGAGAGCAAGAAACCTGACGCTTAATTTGGCGCAATTTTTTATTTGTTTTGTTTTTTGCGTTTTAGCTGTCTTTGTGTGGGTTGTCGATTGACTGACGCAATCTTCCAATTTTGTGTACATATTACTTTCCAATTTTATTGCTGCAAATATATGTATAGTGTATTATAGAGTATTATATGTATATGATAGCCAAGTGACGTCAGCTTGTGTGCTACGATTAGATTGCTCTAGAGCTTCGTACACATTTTTATCTTCCGGTCGCGCGGTCACTTCCGGTCGTTCGCAAACAATTGTTATCAATAATATGCCAGAATTTCAAAGTGAATCATTTATTAAGTTCAAGTCAAAGGTTTTATTGAACTTACATGAATAATTGAGCCGTATAATTGAGTGTAGTTGCCGCGAAGAACATTGCACTCCATTAAGTTATCAAGCTGCAGCATGCACTGCGCACAAGTGCTCATACCCTTCGCATCGGGCATTCTCAGCTTCTTACGAGACATGTAACACATTGGGAGAAGGAAGGGGCTAGTTTTGGCTTTCTGTTTCAATGGAAACTCGATAATTGTGAAGCTTTATAAATAAAGAGATATATTTTGTCTTAAAAGTTTTCTTTTTTTAAATTCAAGAAGTAAAATCTTTGTTATGATGAATCCATCTTAAACTTTATCTAAAACTATCGTTTTATTCTTAAAAAAATATTCCAAATTTGATGGTTTAAATCCTCTAATAATCTTTCCCTAATAAACATATAACTATATTGTAGGGAATTCAAGCTTTGACTATATGAAATGTAAATCTTTTCCAGTTTTTTCTTGTATGCGCTTCATTTATGAGTGACAAGCTGCGTCATTTTTCCATTTGCCAGGGCAAAAGCGCAAATGCAAACACTCTGTAAATTCGCTCTCTATAGAGATGGGGAGAGAGAGGGTGAGAGGGAAAGGGGCTGAGAGACAACTCCACCACAGGGTACTGCGACCATATAATTATTTCTCATGCCGCAGCTACTTTTGCTGCTGCTGGTTTTGGACGCCAGTTTTTCGCACACAGTGCGCAAAATTTTAATGAGTTGGAAATTTAATACCAGCCAGGACAGACAGCCAGCAGATTGCAGAAGGGAGATAGGAGGCGGAGGGGGTTAGGGGCTGGGAATAAAAGAGTTCACTCGAATCTGACTACAACTGCGGTAGGTCTCGCTTCGAGGCGCACACAATTCAATTTGCAGTGTGTTCTTAAATAATTAAAAAATTTGCATTTAATTGAGAGATTAATGAGAAAAGCCTAGAGACAAACTCAACAACACTGATTGACTGACTGACTGAGTGAGTGACTGATTGACTAACTGACTGACTAGCAGTCATAATTTGTTCACTCTGATTGACTGACTGATGAACTCACTGATTGACTGACTTGCTGACTAGCAGTCTGATTCAATCTCTGATTGACTAACTGACTGACAGACTGATTGACGAACCGACAGACTGATTGACGAACCGACAGACTGATTGACTAACTGACTGACAAGCAGTCATATTACTTAGTTCTTTCTGATTGATTTACTGATTGATTGACTAGAAGTAATATTACAAAATTCTCTCTGATTTAAAGGCCGACTGACAGACTGATTGACTATATGACTGACTAGCAGTCATATTACGTAGGTTTCTCCGATTGAATGGCGGACTGACAGACTGATTGACTGATTGACTTACTGACTGACTAGCAGTCATATTACGTTGTTCTCTATGATTGACTAACTGATTGATCAGTCAGTTAGTCTGACTTGCAGTCATTTAGCGTAATTCTCAGCGCAGCTTTAAATTAATTTTAATGAACTCAAAGTTTTTCCCCCAGCTCACCTTGAACTTGTGTTCCGCCTCAAATGGCGGCTTCACAAAAAAAATAAAGATAACAAAAGCCGCGACTAATTTGTTTATGTATATATACAAACATATTATAAGATGTGTATATAGTACATATATGTACTTTGTCTGGTACGATATCTGTGTGCAGTCGCTTCCGTTCGTTGCGCGCGCAATGCGCAGTTTTTGTTAGATAAATCTTCGTCTTTTTTCGCTTGAAAAAAGTTTTTATTTTTAGCAAATTGTTTTAGATTGTAATATGTATTTAATTTATGCTAAATGTTTGCTTTTTCCTCTCTTTCTTTCCAGATTTGACGACTTCTCGACTTTGTCTTGTGCCATTTGTGCGCTTGCGGAAATGTAAGTTCCCCCCGCTTTCAAATCTTCATTTAACTGTTCTCATTTAACCCAAATCCATTTGCGACTATTTAATTGGGTTGTGCATTTTACGTGACGCACTAAATTTCGTCATTTTATGTGACAACTCCGCTTGACTATTGCATTCATTTACTCACGTATCACATAAATGTATGATCCGCAAGTTTGTGAACTTCCATTTCACGGGGCTCCACTAATAATTAGTCTTCGCGACGTTGAAAAGCTCGTTAAAATCTTGAAATGTGTGCACTTGTTGGGTAAACCTCACGTGGCACAACCCCCTCCCCTTCCCGCCTCCCCCTTGCTGAACCCTCCCTAGCTCCGCACTTTGTGTGGCTTCTAATTGTAGTTTAACTTTCTGACATAATTTATGATGCTTTTCGAACTCTGAAGTTTGTTGAGGTTTTGTTTTGGAGTTTTTTTTTTGTGTTTTGTATCTACCTGCCAAGTTGCCTTCTCGCTTACTCAAAATTCGGAGAATCTTTAAATTGCATTCTGAATAGAGAATTCGCAAAAAAAATGAGAGAAGTGGAAGCAGCTCAGGCTGTTGATTTATTATTTGAAAAGCTTGGCAGCTTTGTTGAGGTAATGAAATTATTTCAAAGTTATTTATGTGTCCTGCCATTCAAAAAAAAGTTCTTTTAACAAGAGATCTTGTCGAATTTGATAAGAATTTATCAGGCATACTTGTTGCTGATACAGTAGTCCCTCGCTAATTTGAAAGCTTCGGATCGAGTTTTCAGTTTAACATGCAAAAAAGTTTCATTTGCGAAATTTTCAACTAAAGGTGAAGTTTATTTAAAAGTTTTCACAAGTCAATAAAAAACATTCGGACTTCCGGATTATCTAAATTTTTGAATAGTTTACATATGTATGTATACATTTTTTATATACAAAATTCACCTTAAATAAGGAAGAAAGGTTTTGGAAAATGTCTTAAACTAATTATAATTATTCTGGGTCAAGAAACTTTTAAGTTAATTGATTCTGATCCAGAATATATGTATGTATATACTCTTTCGGATGTGCATATAGAATAAAAAGATCTGAATAAGTTTGAATATACATATTTAAAATACATTCATTACGCAAAACGATAACCTTAAAGTTAAATGGGGCGTAAAAACTTCTTAAACTTAAATAACATATATTATTTACAGTTCACTGACATTAAAGTCAGCTTATAATAAAAACATGTACTAACACAGGTCTCAAAGCAACGTGAACATGAAATTGTTGCCCGCCAAGCGGCCCATTGCACATGCAATTCTCGTAATACTCATTGCGAATAAAGTGAATAAAAAACCCATTCACAGCCATATTGACGTGCCATATTCTAAGGGTTATGTCTGACGTAAGAGTTTAAAGATAAGTACTGCTGCGAGAACATCTCAATATAAAAAAAATAAAAATAAATACTAAACGAGTATTCGCGAGTGTATGCATATGAATGCATATGCATAACATGAATACATTTGCAAATACTCTATAGACAGACAATAATAACTGTAAATGAAGCTTTTAGCGTCACGTTGAATTGAAAATTGAATTATGTGGAATGAGTATAGAGCAGGGGCAGATGCAGGGGCAGAGCTGGGTCTGAGACTGCGACCGAGTCTGAGTTATTCTTAGGAACTTGGCGACTAACTCGATTCGCGATCGCACACATGTGACCCTGAGCAGCTCTGCCGTCGTCTGGTGGGAACCAAAAAAAATAAATAAAAATAAATAAAAAATAAAGAATTTTATTTAATTATGCATAATGCTTATAATGATGCTGTAGCTGCAGTTTTTATGAATAGAGTTTTATAGCAAAATGTTTTATTGTTCCTCATGTTCCATTATATTTTTAACTATGTTCGCATACACACTTTTTACCGACCTCATCAAAGCAAAATGCAATGCCCTTTTTTTTATTAGCCACATTAAAAATCATTTATTATGTTTTCCGCTCTCTGCTTTGAGCATTTCATTTAAGCTCTATGCCATTTATTTAATTTTTTTTTCGAGTTTTTTTTTCATATTTGTTGCAAAGATTAATTAAAGATTTCATTTTTGATTTATTGAGCTACAATTTTGGTTGGCTCCCAAAGGCCCCGTAGCTTTGGGCGAACGAATGAGTGGATTGTTGTTGTATTGTGAGGTCTTTGCAAATTTTTAAAGCGAGGGAGATTTAATATGCATGCATGTATTTTGTTTTAATACGCACAATTTGTATTTGTTCAATATGCATATTTTAATTGAAAGTCATTAATTTTTAAGCAAACACAAAACTTTGTTTACATTCTGTGCGCACATTCATTTGCTTAAGCCTTTGAAATGCATGTTGTTTGTTTTCATTTATGTATGTATAATTTTTTTTGTGGTTCAATGAAATTGCATTTGATGGCATCTGTTTTCGTGCCACAAGCATTTCGATGTGTATTTGCAGGTGCTGGCAAGGAAATTAAGAGATTTAACCATTCGAATCAGTTGCCAAAATAACACAAATATGTAGGTTTTGATCAAGCAATTTCATTCATTTATTTGTGTATATTATACATATACATATTATTTATGTATTAGTGAGCTTTGAAAAAGTTCTGCTTATTCTTGCTTAAACAGAGCTTTCAGCTCACAAAGCTTCAGTGTGCGTGTGCTCCATACGTGAGGCATGGAAATATTTATTTATTTTGCTGTCATTTAAATAAACTGAAATTATTCCATAATTATTATGGAAATCAAATCCAATAGCTGGCCAAATATTTATTTAATTTACCTGGCAAATACATGAATAAATACTGAACCAGTTCAATTGAACTGTGCGCTCCCAACTTGAGGCTGGCCCAGCTACGCATTCCTTTCATATTTCAGCTGCCCACAGACAGGTGCAGCTCATGATTTTTGTTTAGCTCTGGCTTAAGCAAAGCAAAAAATGCGTTCAAGCCGCATCGACAGCTTTTTGCCAACAGTTGCGTAGCCCACGAGCCAAATGATATCAAAATTGGGTTAAGCAACTGGCCGGGCCGGGCCAGGCCACGAGTCGGTTGTCAGTTGCAGCCGTTGCTGTTGCAATTGGCCGCAACGCCAACATTGCCGCATTTGGTGTCTCAGTTTTTGTTCAATGAAAATGAAAGCAGGCCTTGCAATCAGAATACAAGTCTGTCGCAGCTGCCATGTGGGCCAAAGATTTTCGCCTGCCTGCCTGCCTGTGAAAGTGAAAACTGAGCCACTGGAAAACTGTACAAGTGAGTGTTAGTCACAAGTGATACCCTGTACCCGAGTTGGAAATGTCTGTGAATAATATTTAAAGTTTCTTGGCTCCTCTTCACTTGAGGCCAAACTATGGAAAATGTAGTCTTAAGTAACTCATGTTTTTATGGTCCGATCTTTACGAAATATTCAGTGCTCTAAGATGATCTTCAATTGCCTGCGTATACCAAAAGAAGGCTGAACCTAGGCTTTTTCTTTTGATTTGCAAAAAGAATGGTTAAAAGTATAAATAGGGAAAGATGTAGTACGATCATTATACAACATTAAGGCCCAACGATGATCTTCAATTGTCTGTAAATAAAAACTCAACATAGGTTTTTTTGTTTTGAGTTGGGGAAAGAATAGCGAAAGGTTTAGATAGGGAAAGGTTTTGCTAAAGGTGTGAAAAGAAATTACGTATTCTTAAGCTCTGTATGTTATAAAAGAAAGTACAATATTGTTTGTCTCTAACGCTCATTTTTTCAGATTTACGTCCATAGAATGTAGACTGAACATCGATATTTATCGATTGTGAGAAAATGAGGAGAGTTATCGAAGAAAATCGCATTTCGATGGAAGCAGAGATATGGAGAATTCGAATTTACATGCGTATGCACAACCCTTCTCTTACCTACTTCCAGTGGTTACAGGGTATATAAACAAAATTTCCGTCTACCTCCAATTGCCAGACATAAACAAACTGCCCGCTGCTCATTACAACAAATTTGTTTGGTTTGCTTTACGCATTCATTATCTTGTGTGTGTATATGTATATCTAATGGTCAGGTTGTGTTGACGCCTCAGTTTTTGGGTTCTCAGTGGACAGCTTTGTCAGGTGAGGTGTTAGCGTGGGAGTAAGTGAGAGTTCAATTTGTCTAGACCCAAGCAATTTTTGCGACGAGAAAGTTTTGGCTGCTTTTATTTCGAGCTATTTTATTTATTTATTTTTGACTCGATTAACAGGTGTTTATGAAACAGCAACATTTATGCCAATGTTGTTAAGGATTATTTATGCTCTGTTGCCAAAAACTGATTTGCATGTCAAGCTGTCGGAAGCCGTCGATTCACGCAATAGTTGTTCAGCTCCTCCCCACCCCACCCCTAAAAAAAGAAAAAAAAGTAACATGACGCGTTGCGGTATCTCGCATACCAACCAGATCTATGTTTGTTTATGGGCTTTGCTGCACATTAAGATTAACCTGTTTGAGGGGTTTTTTTTTCAGCTTCTTTCTTTCTTTCTTTCTGGTCAAAGACACAACGCTTCCCAGCTTCCGAGTCGCGGTGCGTGCTTTCTACCCCAACCAGTTTTCTTTTTCTCTACAGATTTATTGCCAATATTCACTTGTTTTTTTTTTTTTGGTTACTTAAATTTTTTATATTTCAGTCTATACAAATTGCTCGAACAATTTTTTGCGGTTGACCAGGCGAAAGTCGTTGGCTTAATTTGGGTGATTTTTTGTTGTTGTTATGTTTATTACAGTTGTTGTTGTTGTTGGGTTTAGGCGTTGTCCCAGTCGCTGCGATCTAATGCAGGCCATGTTACTTTAAGACCAACTTTAATTAAAGCTCTGGCGCGCCGGCACGATTTCAATTTCCAGCTAAAAGGCGCATTCGAGCCAGTTTTGCTGAGCGTGTCTATCATTAGGCCGGGCTCCGTTGCAGCAATCAAAAGACACAGATTTTCATTACGATTAAATGCGTACAAGAGCTATGAAAGAGTTCATATAAATGTAAAATGTAAATAAAGCTTA